TGACAAATAGAATTTACATGTTGCCCAACTTATCTGCTTTCTTTGAAGAAAATGACGTTGAACTTGACAAAAGGATTACAATGATAATTTCTGTCAAAGAAGACTTGCAAATGCTTGCAAACGAAATTTCATCATACTTTCCAAATTTACCTGCCACCCCGTTTGCACTTGCTAGAAGTCCATTCACAGTCAAAATTGAAGATGTTCCTGAGAGTGCACAAGAGGAGTTCATTGAACTCATTATCAGCGATGCAGCAAAAAATGATTTCTCGTCAATGTCAATTAATAAATTCTGGATCAAGTGTTTGCAGTCATATCCTGCTCTGTCTGAGTTTGTGTTGCACCTTCTTCCATTTCCAACAACATATCTCTGTGAAACAGGCTTTTCAAGCTTGTTGGTTATCAAGTCTAAATACAGAAGTTGACTTGTTGCAGAAGATGATCTTCATTGTGCTCTTGCAAAGACTGCCTGGAGAATTACTGATTTGGTGAGAAAGAAGCAACCTCCGCCTTCGCACTGACTCTTTAATAAGCTTAGTTTTTTGATGCGTGGTTTCGCAACAATTTTGTAGCAATGTAGCTTACTGTTATTATATTGAGACTGTTACCGTTGTTACTCTTTGTTTTCACATGATTATACAATTGAATACAGTTCAATACACAATGAATAAATAACCTAAGTCGTAAACATTTTATTCATTTGTAACATATGTTTATTACATATTGTTTTTGTGATTAAATACTATGCTTTAATTATGTTGAATTTGTAAGAATGAAAATACATCCTGCATATCAGATATTTCGTTTCCTAATGCTAGCAAAAAGAGCAATGAAGGAGCAACGAAAATAATTTTACTGTTGGGGGGTTGCCACAACTTGGGCAATTTTATCAAAGGGTCGCGTCACTAGAAAAGTTGAGAATCTCTGAAATAGAGGATTTGTTGTCTCCTTTAAGCAGTGGTTCTCAAACTGTGGGTCGCTGTGTGATTTCTGCTGTGCTAGGTGAGAGTCCTCCTCAGTCCTCTCCTAGCGCAGAAGTGTCGGTTCTCCTGCGACGCCGCCAGCCACGTCATCCCTAAATTTTACCATTGGGGGTCACCACAACTTGGCAAATGTTACCACGGGCTCCCGGCCCTAGAAAGGTTGAGAACCACTGGTCTAGTCCAAGGCTATGGTCTGGGACTATCCTAATTGATCCTCATGTTTTCAGACAGCTGGAGCCTGTTGCTGCGGCCTCATGTCACTGTGGACAACCTACCTGGTGGATACTCTCTTGCATATCTCTAAGATGAGAGTTCTGTTGGTCCACATCCGGTGGATCCTTTGGTTGAAATGTTGGTCGGCGGAGCTTCCTTGCAAGAAAGACCACATGTTGTTTGCTGGAGCAAGCCTCTTTGGAGAATCCTTAGATAAATGCATAAAAAAAACTCACAGGAGGGGGTGGGGGAGCCGTAAAATCTTCTGCTCCCTCCCTTTTAAAAGTTTATTTTGTCCTCAAGCCTCCGGTTCCAAACCCAAACAGGGTGCATAGTTGTGCCACAAGGCCTGGACCTCCGGGAAGTAAGCCCTTTTCACAATGAAGGGGTACCCCCACTTTTACAAATGGATGTCTTTTAGCCTTCCCAGCACTGGGCATAGGATATTGCTGACCTCTGGGTTTTGAGTGTTTGTTACCAAAGGCTACAAGCTGGAGTTTTGCTGTTTCCTCCCCATTTCCTGTTCAAGTTTGCCAAAATCTCCCCAAAGATGGGTGGATTTCTTTGCTGCCCTACGTTAGCTGTTTTTTTAAGTGCTCATTATCCCTGTTTGAAGGCAGAAATGTTCCAGGGGTTTTACTCAAACCTGTTAATTGTCGCCAAGGGAGAGGTCCACCCTATCTTGGATATTAAGATCAACCAGTTCCTTCAGTTCTGGATGGAATCTAACCAATTAGTCATCACCTTCCTCCATCTGGGAGAATTGATGGACATTAAGGATGCATATTTACAAATCCCTATGTTCCCTGTCCATTGTCCCTACCTGTGTTTTGCTGTGGGCACCCAGCACTTCTAGTTTGTTGTCTTTCCGTGGCACCCAGGGTGTTTACCATTTGGACGTGAAGTTCTTTGTTGCAGGTGGGGTGTAGATCCGAATGTAGACCTCCTGGTGTCCAGGTTTAACAACAAGCTGTACAGGTTTGTTGCAGGACTAGGCATCCTCTAGCCTTTGTGGCTGATGCCTTGGTGATACTGTGGGATCAGTTCCAACTGACCTACGCCTTCTCTTCACTGAAGCTTTGACCTCACCTTCCTTGCAGAATCAAGATGGAAGACATCCTGGTGATCCTCACTGACCCATTACCCCCTGGTACACCGATGTGCTCAAACTCATGGCTGACTCTCCATGGGCAGTTCCAGACCTTCTGTTGCAAGGTCTGGTATTCCTTCCTGCTTCTCATTCTGGTTTTAACTGCATGGCTGTTAAAGTGTGGGGGACAGTGTCATTGTTTTTGCTCCTTAAGACTTGGAAGTCAACCTCCCGCAAGGTCTACTATACTTCTTGTGGTTGTTGTCCTAGTGATTTGAGAATTAAATCTGTGCCCTGTAATGTACAACAAGAAAACAGGGTTTTTGTGTTACCTCTAAGATCTGTTTCTTGGAATACATGACAGATAACAGGATCACCCTTTCCTCTGTATTCTGTGATCCACTCTGTACTGCTTGCTACAAAGCTTAGGCAGGCTGTGAGGGGAAGGGGTTATGCATGGCTGTCCTACAGCTTTTATTGATTTGCCAGTGCCCAATCACTTTAAGGTAGCTGCTAACCCAGTGACCTAAGAATTAACTCTGCCCTGTGATGTTTTCCACTATTCTGGGGGCATTCTATTCTGGCTAAAGGGGACTTGGAAAGGACAGCACTACATCCATAGAGACAGAATGGAAGCCTGTTGTTGAACAGTGAATCGTGGAAAACTTTAAATGTACTGGTTATGGGAATATACAGTAACTACACATTTTGGTTTATTCTGTCCTGTGCTCTTCCCCCATAGAGGTATGTACCCAAGGGTGGAATTTGTGAATAAGAACATCTCTGGAGAAAAGAAAATGGTATTCAAGAAAGCCACCATCACCTATTCAATGTTCGCCTTTAGGCCTCATACACACTGCTAAGAGCCGTCCCGTACAGATCCGTGCGGCGTGCACGGCCGTTTTGGGCCGCTCCCAAGAAGGACAGGTGCTGTGTGTGATTGTATGCAGTAGCCTGTTCTTCTCTATGGGAGTATGCGGCCGTACGCACAACCGAGCTGCACATCGGTGCGGGTGTCCGTGCTCAGACTCAGACAGGATCCATCTGAGTACAGCCACCCATGTGCAGTTCGGGTGAGCATGCGGCCGCATACTCCTATAGAGAAGAACAAAGCGCTGCGTAAATCACACGTACCACCTGTCCTTCACTCCAATGCTGCTTTAAAGACTTACCTTAAATGATGCCCCTTGATCCGATCATTTTCTTTCCAGGACTCCCTCCAGCGCTGACTGCTGTGACTTTTGTGTCCCACAGTGTCTATGCGGGTGCCCGCAAATGGCCCCTGTACCTTTTTTGCGTCCACGCAACCATACACTGCTTGAATTCCGTCCGAGTTCTACTTACTCAAATTTTGACAACTACTCCGTTTGACAGAAGTTGATTTTTTTTTTTCTTATTTTTTTTTATTGAATTTTGTCAAAGGAGTTGGGCCAAAAATTGTCTGTCAAACAGTAACTGCTGATAATAAGCTACAGTCACTGTTTGGGTATTAGCTGCAGATTTTTACAGAGTTTCACAGCTGCCGGAGAACAGCAACATCAGAAACGGAGCAGTAAAGTTCTTACAACCATTTCTATGCACAATTTAGTGGTTCAGTCTTATTGTAGACAAATCCTTTTTTTTTTTTTTTTGAAGCCTGATTTTCTGGCTTTTTTTTTTAGTGCTGCAGCTAACTATTATTTTCATAGTCGATTAGTTAGCCGATTTTATTATAGTCGATTAATCGGATAAAATAAAAACATTTAATACTCATTTTATTCAAAATACACGAATGCAGCGTTACAGACATTAAAGTTTCCTTCAGAATAAAACGGTATACACCTTTTTTTTTATATCGCACTGGAACGCAGGGCATTTCAGTACCGCGCGTTCCAGTGCGGGCGATCATACTGCGGACGGGATGTGCATTTGGGATCCATTGAAATGGATGGCACTGCAACGCAACTCCTGCAGCAAAATTTGTCAGGCCGAAACTGAAAATGACTTTTCCCACATTTTATATACATACAATTATTAAAAAGATATATAATTGATTTCTAAATAATGTGAATTGTAAAATTAAGCCAATATAGTAAAAAACCTTTCATTTAAAATGACACACCAATAAAATGTTTTTTGAAATTTTTTTTTTAACTTTTTTTTTTTTTAATTTTAACTTTTAATTTAAAAAAAAGTCTTAATTTTATCAGCTGTAGAGGAAGCAGGGGGGCGGGGCAGAGGTGCATACCGGGTGACAGGAGGAACCGGCCGGGGGAGCAGCGGGGGAATGTATTGGCAGCGCCTCTCCTCCCTGCTGGTGCCGGCTGCAGCGGTCTGTGTCCCCGCTGCCTCTGACGACACAGGCGGGGAGAGCAGCGGGGTTTTGAAGGGACACAGACCACTGCAGCCAGCACCAGCGGGGAGGAGAAAAACTGCAAATCAATGATGAGAATCATTACCAACGATTCTCATTATCGATTTTAATTGAATAGTTGTTGCAGCTCTATTATTGACACAAATATCCCTCACAACTGACAAATATAAAGCTTGCACAGTTGCTACTATATTTGAGTATGCATTAAAGGATGCTATTCATATACTGTGACATTGAATCTTATAGGACAATATCCGGCATGCATTTTACTTGATGGGTATCGTATTATAATGCAGTTTAATAAAATGATTCATAAAAAATGATTAATGATTGTATGTATTCTTTTTGGGTCTTTTTATAGCACCATTCCGGGCACTCAAAAGATTTGGGTACGCACATGGGGCTGTTCACATAACAACTCTGATGGAGAGTACATGGCGGGCCAGTTGGCTGCATATGGCTACAGTATAACAGGTAAGAAATACAGATAAAAAACTCTGGATACATGGTATCAGACATTGTCAACTTGTTGACCACCTTGTATGCCTGCTGGTTTCCCTCTGTTTTTTTTACTCTAAGGCCTTGTTCACACAGGTGCCAAAGGGGCAGTAAAAAAACAGGTGATTTGATTCACTTTTTTCCCCCCACACCTAAAACCTAACATGGTAACCGCTTAGGGTTCTACACATGCTGTGCATCACGGTTGCAGCAGATTGTATACAGCATGTCATGTTTAGCAGGCAGTGCCACTTGCAAAAATGCAATGGTTGCAGTTAATGGGACCATGCTGCAATGTGTACTGAGCACTCAAGTTCATTGTGGTGTGTTCAGCGCTTGCTATTTACATTAGGGCAGCCTATTAATTTGAATAAGCTAATGTATCACAACGAACCTAAAATCGTTCTTGCTGCATTTTTGCTAGCGCAGTTGCGTTGTAGTATGCGCAACACAGGTGAATTTTGAAGGCGCTTTGGGGTGCCATTCAAAATTAAAAAAAAAGCACTGCAGTGCACAAGTCTGTGACATACGCCCGGCCCGAACCCGCTCTACACCAATCACGCATAATTATGCACAGTTCTGAGCCGAGGGTGGCGTCACAAGGACAAGGCAATACTACTCTCTGCCTCACCCTGCACAGAGATTTTCCCAGCTTGCAGGGCCACAATCTCAGGCCAGCAGACTGAGAGCGATCGTCACTATGGTTGGTTAACTCTGCAGTTAACCCTTTACACACCAAGCGTTTGCTGCCACCACAAGTTTTTTAACGGAAACACAGACCATGCTCAGCAAGTGCTGTGGCAATTTAAAACACTTAAACAAAGTTTAAAATCAAAAAGGTGAAATGAAAGGTGAAAACTTAACGGTCCTGGTTTTTAGGAGTTCTGACAGAGTACAGAGTTCAATAAGCAAAAGAGAGCAGGGCTCTTCACTTCAAGCAAGTTTGCACAGATGATGTCCAGATTTTAAAGGGGAACTCTTCTGCGGTGTTCAGTGTCCTGATGTTGCTGGAGTTGCTTTCTTGATGTTTCAAAACAAGAGCCTCCTGCTAGATGCCTGTGCAGCATCTTTTTGTCAGCCCTCTAGTCTAGGGGGTGTCACAGAGTCGACTCCTAGGGCAGGGCTGGGGAGGGAGAGCAAGAAGGACGAGCCTTTATGATTTCCACCTCTGCTCCTCCCAAACGGTTAAATTCATAACTTAAGATGATAGCGGAGTATTTTATATCACGGTCCGGCAACCCCTAAATTATGATGCGCCATGAAGTTACCATTAGATTGAATCTAAACATGCCCCAAATATGAAGGATGGGAAGGCCAGGAAGGTAAATGTTGCCTGTCCTGCCATGGCTCTTTCTAAACTTTTAATTCTTGATATGTGTACTAGTTGTGATGAGACACAGCTATTTGTGCACTTAAACTTTACAATATCAATCTCCAATTCCAAATTATGAAACAGAGCAGATAATGTAATGCAGGTTTATGACTTGTGGGTGAATGCTGGGTCACCTGGGTCATTGACTCTACCAGACCTGCTTGTGTCTATATCAACTTGTCCAACTGTTAATAGATGAGTGCCTGGTTGCCTGCCTTTAATTGGGGGCCACCATAAAAAGGTTAGAGGTGATTTGGGGACTCTCACTTGTTAAGTAGTGCTGGGGCAATAAAGATCACAAGCCAGGTTAGGGGATCTCTGTGTTTTGGAACGTGGAGGGACCTGACAAATGACTAAATGAAGGCCTGCATTTGCCTTCATAGAGAATGCCATATTTAATATTAGACTCAAATCCCATATGGATTAGGATAACGTGTTACCGCAACGCAGTAGTGTGAATAAGCCTTCAAATAGCAGTGATGCAGGGAGGGAAAGCTGTACAGTAAACATCAGAAAGTATACGACCTATGATACTGTGAGGTGCTTTCTGGATTACACTGAAACTCCAATTTTAAGGAGACCTGTACTGAGAAAATATTTGGCCGCCATTGTTTGCTTCCCCTTCTGAAAAGGAGTTGCCTAGTTCTAACTGTAATATCACATATCTGTAAAAAATAAATCAGAGCAACTGGACTTGCTTTATTTTTCTTGAAGCCATTGCTGGTCATCCGACTAGCTTTCTTAATTCGGACTTGAGAAAGCTGGTTGGGTGACCAGTGATACGTCTTCCAGAAAAAAACAGCAAGTCCAGTTGCCTTGATTTATTTCTTCATTTTTTTTACTGATATACCATGACCTGGACGACTGAAAACCTTCACAGACATATTGTAATCTTGCATGCTTTGCTGTAGGTTAGAAATGTTTGTTTTGTATCATTATGTTGTGTGCTTTGTTTTGTAGTATCCGTTTGCAAACTAATACTATTCTGAATTTGACATTTTGACATTTATGAACCAATCTTGATGATTGCTGTATTTATAAATGGATGTGTAGTTACAAATAGTAACCATATGATGGCAGCAGAGGATAATGTAAAAGTTATTTACAGCATGCAGAGGCCAAAGCTGATGCTGAGAGCTTTACTCTGTCTGAGGATGACTTCGGGCCATAGGACTTGGTCACTATGTCTTAAGCTGGGTACCCAGAGTCAGCCTCGCAGCCTCCTGAATGGAAAAAAAAAAAAAGGATGGCCGATTTTTTTCCATCCACACTTACAGCGTGGATGAAGAAATCTCCTGCTTTGTACATTGTACTCTAACAGTGACACCTACTAAATATGAGTAAAGATATGTATAAGAATAATAACTTAATACTAAATGTTTATGTCACATGACACATCCTTAGTCTTTCAAGTGACATCTAGGGCTCATTCACTTGGCCACTTATGGCCGCACATCTCCCAGGTCAGCCAATTTCGTTGGTGGGTGCAGCTAGGTGTTTCCAATTAGCTGTGGACAAGGAAGCCTGTGTAAATTAATGATGGGCTGACACTGTCTGCGAGTGATTACGTGCAGCTAGGTATAAATGAGCGGCCTTGTACACAGACTGTTTGCATCCAGCACATCTGTCCTTAGCTACAAGTATTAGCTCAGTGCGTGAATACATGCGCACAGCTGTGGAGCTTCTCTGCCTGTTATTGATTTGCAAAGGTTGGCAGCCGCAGCATATCTAGGGGGATATGGCCATGAACAGTGTAAATGAGCCATTGGGGACCTGTAGAGGCTCTGATATTTCAGTGGAATGACAGCTGGTTATGCCTTGGCACAATGAGGTGTGGGTGTTCCTATTGATTCGGAGGGTAGTCCGAACCCTCTCCACAACATGGGCCGAGGATCTCGAGTTCTCTCCAGGCACTAAGGAATTCCTTGCCCCCCTCCCCCTCCCACATGTCAAAAATGTTAACGGTTAAAAAAAAAATTGAATGAAGAGTGCAACAGTGACACAATTAAACATACTTCATAATGCCACTGATAAATCAGATAATTATTTAAAAAAAAAGGTATGCATCATTAATGTCGTCATGACCAACATGTGGCCAGATTCAGGAACTTGTATCTTTTGCTTTGCTGTGTCATATCATTGTGCCTCTCCTGCGACTGATGATTGTCAGAACACATGACATTATCAGTTCTTGTCTGTAGATGGAGCTGTTCCTCCATGAAATTCATCTAGCATTGTAGTGCCACAGTGCTGCTAGGAGTTAAATAGCAGCCTGCTAAACTGTAGAATGTAATTGTTTCATTTAGTGCTTTATATCTCGTATATTTTACCTGCTCCATATATAGAGTGCATTTTGTCTAATTAACCATGCGGTTTTTAGTAAATCACTTCTTTTTCACATACAAGAGTGTGTGTGTGTGTGTGTGGTTTAATTAAGAAAAAAATATATATGTATATACATATGTATGTATATATGTGTGTGTATATATGTGTGTGTGTATGTATATATGTATGTATATATGTATGTATATGTGTATGTATATGTATGTATGTATGTATGTGTGTATATATATATATATATATATATATATATATATTATTATATTATATACGCGCGCACACACGTAATCCTCCTGACAAATCCACAGGCGATGCTCTTTCTCCTAGTGCAGTGTAAGCATAGCAAAACCGTGCCGCACAGCGTTGAGCATCTCAAATTGTTCATTCATAAAACCGATCATCTCCTACTGCAGCTGACTGGAGCGCATCACCATCTACGTAATGCAGCAGGTTCACTCCGTCCTATCAGAGCTCTGCCTTCTATTTTCTCTGCTTTCGTCTGTGCGCTCTACTCCTAAGCCAAACATAAGATGTACGGTTTTGTGGCGACATGTACTTCTTTACTTGTTGTGTAGCCTGCTGTACAATGATTAAATAGCCATGTAGTAAACGTCTTGGAAGAATTTTGATCATTCTATAATCTCACTGTTTTTTGTATTCATTTTCATACCTGTCATAAGTATGTATGTATGTGTATATATTTTTTTCTTGCTGAGAATTACTGTTAGCAACGTGTAACACACAATACAGATCATAATTTTATCAGTCAACACGAGTTTCTCTGTTTGTGCTGCAGTTTACTGCAGTCAGCATTTTACATTAGGAAAGTGGGCACAGCTAGGGAAACAGTATGACTCAGCTTGTTGTCTGCAATGGGAGTTTACCATAAGACAACTTATATATTGCCAAACACCATTTGCCTGTGTTTATGTAAATATCAGATGTGTAATTTATTGTATGTTTACTGAAAATAATGTATGTATTGTAAATACATTTGTTCTCTTAGCTCTTCACATTGAATGATCCTCTTGCTTCAACTGAAAGTATAATAAATGTTTGTCAAGGCAAAAAAAACAAACACATTTAGTACATCTCTGCAATACATGTATATTTGCCCATGCGTTGTCCCTTTAAATACCCTGACAATGCAGTGTCTTTTCTGGACTGGATAGATACAGTATGCAGGGTGCCTAATTCCTATCACCCGACGCCCAGGTCTTTCAGTTCTGAGCTCCAGACAGGTGGTTTCTTTTCTACATTTATC